TCGATTTCGATAATGGTCGTTCTCTTCGGTTCCAGTTGTTTGCAGATGTCGTTTGTAATGTTCTGGCAGTTGTCAGCATCTGACAGAGTGTCTGTTCTAAGTTAGTGAACCAGCTTTCCAGAGTTTATCGTCTTCAATAGTCGGCACTGTAGGTAAGGTAGAGTCTCAGGTCATAGCGTCCTTAGTGAGTCGACGATGTTCAACGTTTTGAATTTTCACGTCGCTATTTCTTGTCACTCGTTTGTGTTCAGTCAATCGTGTGTGAGGTTCCAGGCAGGTTTTCCGATGAAAGATACATGGCAGTCTGAGAAGTTGACCATGTAAAGGCTCCTTGTCTGTTGTTTGGCTCTTCTTTGTCTTTGACGTCTTTTAGTAACTGGCTTAGTGTGGATATACGTGGACGACACAAATATCGAAGAGTTGTAAAATGAGCAAGATGGTTTCAGACACGCCTTTATGTACAGTACATTTAAGTCGCTGTAGAATACAGTAACTATCCCTTATTAACACCAAACATCCTTTTCTATTCACCTCCGAGGAATTTGCGCGGGATTCGCAGACAAAGATATTGTAATCCTTGTAGGAATAGTTGAGTCAAAAGATAAAATGTTTGTCCTATATCATATACTGTTTCGCTCCATACTAAGACAAATATTCATCTCAGTGTTGCATAGAAGCTTGTTAAATATTCACCACCAGCCACCTCTACTTCATTGAATGGTTATTCAATATATGCAAACGGAATTTTGTTTAATATTTTCCCCTAATAAAACAGCGTAGGTCCGTACGGGTCATAAACGCCAACTGCTAACTAACCCAATGCATAACTAGCTGCAAGTAAAAAACGAATCAATGGAAACCACAAAAACATTTCAACATCTTTACCAAGATGTCCAGAGGAAGATATGTTCCAAATCTGGAGTTTGAGCTTTGATCGTTCGATCACCGACTGACCCACCAGGAAAGGAAAAGATGAAGGTTACTAATTTGAAATTATTTTCTGAATGAAACATCTTTCACCTTTGTTCTTGTATATCGATCACTTATGAGTAATACAAAGTTCCTGTAACTTTAGAGATTGAGTCATTTTCTACTTACAACCACTTTAGGTTTTTATTTTCTTTGAAAATATTCGGTGGTAGGTGACTGAGCCGGTTGACAGACAAGAACCTGCAAAATTTAAAAAAAAACCTTTATACCTAAAATGGCTAAGCTATAGGGTGCACAATGAAGAATTGAAGAATTAGTTCGGATATACCTAACCTTTAGAATACATTTGGGGGGAAAAAACAAGAGATATTATTCTTGGTGAGCACAGTTCATATAGTTCTTACCAATGTAGGATTCCAAGTTTGCATAAGAACGTTAACGTGATTATTGATGAAAACGTTTTCAACTTAGGATTGTGAGCCAAAGTCACTTACAAAGTCACTTACAGTTTCGTCAGGGAGGTAAGGTTACCAAATATCGTAGAGGAAAGGTTTTGCAGTTTGTTGTCGTATAACCCCCTGCATTTAATTAAATTGATTAACTTATATACAGATAATAAGCTACTTTCATCCTCACCGTGATCACCGTTATCTATCCTTACTTTATACAACGACTTCCAAATGTGCATTCAAATACCAAAAAAAAAAAAAAAACCGCTTAGGAGGTGACTGCTACAGGAAATGCTGAAGAGTCAACTTGCACGGTAGTTTCTTGTTTAGGTATCCTTATATCACTGACAGAGAAAGATGGGAATGAATGCGATAAAAACTTATGCAAATATGATGCGTGTCAGAATATCTTCAATGCTACAAAGCTAACGAAATATGTTTTGCGGTCTCTTGTTCGATAGTCCATGATGGATCTATTTTTGTCTTCGTTTTTTTGTTAGACTTGTTTGTTGGCCTTACTAATTTTTTCATCAGTGTTAATTTTGAAATAGTTATGGTAACTACGGGAAAAAGACAAACGAAACAGCGTAAATGCTACACGAGAAGTATCCGTCTATCTTCAATTTTTNGAAACTGTCTGAAGCCTCCTGGAAGCGCCATAAAGTGAAATAAGTTGTATTGTAGTTGCATTCTCCTTGCACTGTTGAGAATTCACGGAGGCATATTTCAAAACGAGGAATGTAAGTATGGGAATCTCGATTGTACAATACCGGTCAAGGATTGGCTTTTATGACAACTTCGTAAAAACAAAGGATATCTTATCGCGTTGTATTAGGATCATTTTTGGAGTTTAATGCTTATGATGTTCTTTTTAAAATATTTTACTTGCCAGTATTGAAACAAGTTTTTGGATAACACAAAATGTGGAATGATGTGATGTTTTGGTTCCACGAATGATTTTCTACAATACTTATATTCCATTGCTTATATGGCC